GCTAGTCGGGGGTCGGCAGAATAGGAACCTGGACAGCCTAAGAGGTGACAGGAATATGCCCGGATGAAGGGCACAGGAATCGCCGGCGTATATAAGGCGAGCGGCACGCGGACACGAGGAAGCCTACTTGCTCTATCCCCGTGTCATTGTATTACCTTGTAATGTCGAACAATACAGTCGCTTGTGGTACGTTACCTCTCTAGTTGGTGTTTACTTCATGTCTAGCGTATCCTGTACTCGTATCTAACCTACCTCACCTACCACACCTAAGTAGCCGCATATAGGCGCTACACTACACCAGTGTAGCCGATCTCCTCCAGTACGTCAAACACATCATCAGACATGAGAACATCAGCTAGTTCATCTTGATATGTCACTGATTGGATCTAGGATAACAAAGATTACAATGTTATTTTTAAAATCAACTGACAAATTTGACAGGATCTATAGAGATTTTATTATTGAATTGTGATTCCATATGGTATGTGGAAACTAACCAGGAGTAAAATCACTGGTTTCTTCACCCCCAATTATTGATTCCAGCATAAGCGCGCACGCTCTTTGGTATTTAGATATCCCCTAGAAATGCTACCACCATGATGCACCACTATGCATTCTTACATTCTGTTCATCAAATATCCCACAACTACTTGCCACATGCAGCATGCATTTAATTTATTATACTTATAGCTGGAAACATTAATTGATGGCTAGAGTACAGCCCGCTTTATTTATATATGAAATATCATCACAACTGTTTAGTACAAATATTATTTACTAAACACTATAAAAAAAATAAATATCACAATAAATACTGCTACCCGGATTTAAAAGTAGAATTTGATAGAGGTTTATTGGCTGTAATTCTGATGTTCTTTAATTCATAGATGCAATTCGACACACAAAATGATATATTGCTTAATATAGTGGCATTATTGATCACTGAAATTAATGATTGGACATTAACAAATTATTCTGCACCCTGATCTAAAACTGAAGCCTTTTTGGTCCTGAAGCCAAAACTTTTTGAGAGCCTAAAGTGCATAATTATACTTATATCAATTATTTTCATACCTTTAAAGCTGCATGTCTGTATTTGCCCACACTATCTTCGGAAGAAAGAGGCTGTCCAGATAGGTAAGCATATATCGTTGGGTGCAGATATGCAGGTGCTGGTCCTCCTTGAACAATTGACATCACCATCAATTTCCCAGCCAGCAAGAAATTCCCATTGTTGAGTGCAATGGTTGATGGCAGTGGCTTCCCTTCTCTAAACATTGTCCTGTCGATAACCGCTAGAATTTCTAAGACAATGCAAAAACAACTCGGTCAGTTCTAAAGTGAAAAAGATGGAATCTGTATACAAACACACATCATGGAATTTAATGTTGGCTTCTAGTGTTAGAAGATACAGCAAAAAGGGCCACTGTCATTTTACTAATTTTCTAGAAATCCCTTTTGCATCTTCGGGGCGAACCATTTAGCCTCGTCTACACGACGATATTTAACTCGAGTAAAGCAATAACTCGTGTTAGCGATTATGTAGCGTCTACACGACAACACCCGATAGCGTGTGTGTGTGCGTGCGTGCGTGTGCAGGAACACGTGTGTGCATGAGTGCGTTGGTGCGTACGTGCGTGTGTGTACAGGTACGCGTGCATGCATGCATGTGCACGTAAACGTGCGTGCGTGTGCACGTACACCTGCGTGCATGCGTATGTAAACGTGCGTGCATGCGTGCGTGTGTGTGTGTGTGCACGTATACGTGTGTGCGTGCGTGCGTGCGTGCGTGCGTATGCAAGTACACGTGCGTGTGTACGTGCACGTGCGTTCGTGCGTGCGTGCGTGCATGTGCACTTACACGTGCGTACATGCGTGCGTGCGTGTGTACGTGTGCATGTACACGTGTGTGCATGCGCGCGTGTGTGTGCATGTACACGTGCGTGCATGAGTGTGTGCGTGCGGGCATGAGTGTGTGCGTGCGTGCGTGTGTACGTACATCATACTAGTGTTGCCGCCTATCGTGGAGTCATGTACTATTCGCTAACTTGAGTTAAGCGTCTATACGGGGCCTTAACTCGAGTTATGGTAACTCAAGTTAGCTTCACCTCAATTGACTGGCGAGGTTAAGCTAACTTGAGTTAAGGCCCCGTATAGACGCTTAACTCAAGTTAAATGTCGTCGTGTAGACGAGGCTTCCATTTATCTTGTGAAGGGGGGGGGTGTTGGAAGAGTTAAAAAATTCCCTGCAGACCCCAAAGCCATAAAGCAAGGAAAAAATATGGGTATGTTTATTTCTGGAGAAACAAATATCGATCATGCATAGATTGTGTTCCCAACTGGGGCAAAAAAATCCTGCAATGCTTAATCTGTCTAAAAAAATATTGCACTGCTTGACGACTTAACAAAATATCTCGCCTGTAAGTCAGTAAGAAAAAAAATTCCAAGGAGAAATCTTCCACCCACCCCCCTCTCAAAAGTCAAATGGTTCGCTCTTTATCAGGGGTAGGCACGTATGTCATGCAAGACTATGAGGGTCTACCAATTGTCATTGTTGCTTGCTATTGTATCAGGTTGTTACCATCTGGTGTAATAATATAGTAATATATTATTATTGGCAAATCAGCTTGTTATTATCATACATGGCTCCAAATGCAAACATAATGTTGAACTTGGCCTGTTTTTCACAAAAATATTGTGAGTAGACATCGCATGTGCAACTGTGTTAAGTTCGAGCCCTGCAATCTCTATCATTATCACAATATTACAAATTCTGGTCTACCTGAGAAAAATTCCCGTCTTGGCCCTCCATCGTCCACTGCAGTCTCTCCAATAAATTCCACTTTGATGGGGATTTGGGGAGACAGTTTTGGCCCATACCTTTGCACATCTACCCACAAGTTGGTGCGACGAATACGTAGCTTCATGGGTTTGTTGGTAGACAGATCCGGCACTAAGCTGCTTATTACGTCGTTTAAACTTTCGTTGGACCTTGCCATCGAGACATCTTCCTCTCCAATAGGGTGTTCTGATTCCTCTTTGTCATTGTTTCCCACCCAAATATCAGCGCAGATGTCGGCATGGTCTGCAATGATTCTGAGAGGAAATTGCTCAGAGCATATCGGACACTCCACCAAGGCCATTGAGTCATCTTCGACATCGGTAATTGTAGTACTAGCAGTAGCAGTGCTAGTGCCAGCTTCGTCAATAATCACAGTATGAATCGAAACTGCACCACTTGATGCAGTAGAACTTGTGCCTGCAGAGGATGCGTTGACAAAACTTTTCCTGTCAAATATGCTTTTCTCTAAGTCTAATCTGACTCAGAGCTACTACTCAGCTGTCCCATCGTCGTTTCTGCTAATATGTAGTCTACCTTTAGGGCGATATACAGAGTTATTCTATTGTAATTTTTCCCCACTTCTTCTTTGTAGTCTTGCAACTTGAATGGTTGCTGACTCCCAGGGATGTTCTCTACCAAACTCCCGTCCGGGTATAGGAGAACGTAGTCCGAGTCCATGCTTGTGTCAAGGGTCACATCGTGATTGGTGTGTTTCAGTGCGGCCTTCTCCTTGACGAGCGAAGCATTGGCGCTCGGGGCCACTCTGATTCGTAGACACTTACCACGGATGGTCTTGAAGTAGCCATTTACATACTTTTTAAGGCCGATGTTTATGGCAACGTCTGTTGGTTCTGAGGCCAATGCCTTTCCTGGTCTACTTCTCTTGGCCTTTGGCTAAAACCTTGATTGGCGCTGACCCTCTTTTATCTTTCTAAAATCCTCAAAACTTACTGACGGACGATTCGTTGTACTACTGCTAGTAGTGGTAGACCAACCAGGATCAATGACAATCGAAGTCTTTACCGAAATACCGCAATTTGAGCAGTAATTAGATGTTGACGTAACCTCCAACACGCACTGTGAGCAAAACATTGCGGTTCTTCAGTCGCCAATTTCAGATAAACACCCGATCGTTTGTCGAACCGATATTGACGATTGACGCAATGGGTAACGCCAGCGTCACTATGTAACATGTTACTATGGAGTGTGCTGCCATCGCGCGACCAAAATCTTCAACGTTTTGCTGGCGTTTGCATCTGTGTTGTGGGATTTTGCATTTGTGTTGTGGCGTTTGCATTTGCGTTGTGGCGTTTGCATTTGTGTTGTGGGATTTTGCATTTGTGTTGTGGCGTTTGCATTTGTGTTGTGGCGTTTGCATTCGCGTTGTGGCGTTTGCATTTATGTTGCGGGATTTGCATTTGTGTTGTGGGATTTGCATTTGTGTTGTGGGATTTGCATTTCTGTTGTGGGATTTGTATCTCTGGTGAGCCTTCTGCGCCACCGTAACATGCTCCCCATATATATATACATATATACGGTGTGTGCGGAAAACTATGACCCGGAAAACTATGACCCGGAAAACTATGACCCCGACAAAACTTACCTCTTACCTCCTTTGCAGGCGTTGGAGAGTGTTAGGTTAGCGTTTAGTCATGCTCCCCGTATATATATACATATATACGGTGTGTGCGGAAAACTATGACCCGGAAAACTATGACCCGGAAAACTATGACCCGGAAAACTATGACCCGGAAAACTATGACCCGGAAAACTATGACCCAGAAAACTATGACCCGGAAAACTATGACCCGGAAAACTATGACCCCGACAAAACCTACCTCTTACCTCCTTTGCAGGCGTTGGAGAGTGTTGGGTTAGCGTTTAGTCAGCGTTTGAGAGTGTGGAGAAGGAGGAAGGGGAGAAGGAGGGGGAGAAGGGAGCTGGTGGAGGAGGAGGGGGAGAAGGGAGAAG